TAATGTCTAAATGCACAGTTTCCATATGCGCAATTTCGGTGCCCCTTTGGCGTTGGCGTCGGTTTGACATAACGCACGTTAAAAAGTATGCTTACTACAATGAACGCTTGGCAGCGAATGCTTTGGCCACTAAATTAAGTAATATACTAACGAAGGATAAAAAGAAAAAATATTTCACATAATTTTATTTATTTGCAACTGCTGACGAGTGACGAAAGCGAAAAGTTGAGAGATGACCATCTTTCTGCATTGTGTTGGCGTTACCGTTGCTGAATTTTGACTATGGGGACGGCTGCATTCGAATTCATATATTTATAGTCAGCTGTTGAAGCGACGGAAACGCCAACGCAACACCAAAGTTCTATGTGAATGGGCTTTAAGTGTGGCTGCGTGCAAGCGTGCAATTAAGCGGCTCGCAATATCAACGTATATTCGGTTAAAGTCATCGCAGAAATGGTTTGTGCGCTAGTATTGAGACCGGCCACTTAAAAAACTTTAAGCCAATGAAAAGACTTGAAATGCCTTAGACTGAACTGATCGCGTTATGATGAATGGAAGATACGCTTCGAGCGTAGGTCAAAATGCGTATTTGTGCAATGAAGAAGGTGCGCCGGGCATCGCGAGGGAAGTTCGACAGTCGAGAAATTAATCAAGCAATTATCAATCCTGCTTAAACAAGAAACTCATAATCGACCCCATATGTATGTAAATGTAAATGAACAGTAGGAATGCAGCTCCCAACTACTACCCGCGCAGGAATAACTGGTTTGCCGAAGAAGTACGCAGAGAATTCAGAAAACGAAATCAAAATAACATAGTAAAATAATTCGCACAGGATCTTGAAAGGTGACGCAACTCAAACTGAAACGTTTGTCAGAAAATGTGAAAAACTATTTTTCAGCACATGGTAATCTTAACTTTTGAAGATCGTGTGCGAATTGTCGTATCGCTATTTAGAAGGCTCAATTAAAGCTCTCTTTCACTGTAAAGGAAATTTTGGTTTTATTCTAAACAAATTTTGACTTCTACATATAATTTTCCGGAACTTTTTTGGTACTTTTCGGAACTTTTTTTAAGTTTTGTTTCGGCATTTCTTTCATGTTCAGTGGCATATTTACTTATACCACAGCTCTTCATCAATTTCTAAAAAATTAATGACAAAAATTGCGAGTTGTTTTCTTCACAGGAAAATATTGATTTTTTACTTTAGAAAATGAGCAGTAAAAATATTCTGATTTTTTTCATAGAATATTAAAAGCATAGTGTAAGAAATTTCAAAAAATTTGGAGATGATAGGAATCTGAACAACTCCATTCAATTAGGCTGGTCAAATGATGAAAAAGTGCCAAAGGATTTGTAAAGTTGGTTTACCAGTTTTTTGTAGTGCAATAAAAAGTTGCAGATAAATAAAAATTTTACCAAAATTAAATTTTTTTATTTTCAGAAAAAATTTAGGTATGCAGCTTTAGCTCATTAAATTTTAGTATAATAAAGTGCAAGTTTCAGGGGCCTAAGAAGTCGAATTGATTTATAATAAATTTTTTTTTACTTTCACAAAAAAAAAATACGCGATTTTTAAATACTTCAAATTCTCGCTATATTTTTTTTTAAATTTTGGTGTAATATTTTTTGGATCTTCACTGTGAAAATAATTCACGAATATACGTTCCCAGTTACTGCAATTCTGAAATGCAGCTAATACAAATTTTTCCGCTGCCTATTTATACGAGTTATGCCAAGCAGGATAAAGTATAAAAAATGTTCTTATTTTTACTTGCAGACTCGAAAACCCGTTTAAAAAACTTTAAAGGTCGACGCAGTTAAGAAGCACGTTTGCGATCGATTAACGCTGCAAATGTCAACGAGTTTCCCTAATTCGTGATTCCAAAGTTTCAAATACATACTTGTGCAACACAATGTTGCAACATCTGCGTATACTAATTTCCTTGGCAACGGGAAATGTAAAGACGAAAAGATGAATTTCCCGTAGTGACTATTGCAAGGATAAGTTTGGTAGAAATTGAACGCCAATAAAATA